AATAAATAAATAAATAAGAATACAAGTGTAATCTCTACGCTAATAGTTAAAGGCTAAGTAATAGAAAATCCTAACTAAAGCATTTGTAAATTATAATGTTATTTGCACTTCACTTTCATCAAAAGCATAAATTTACCTTTATTCTATTAAATATTGTGGCACCTATTAATATGGCTAATATGGACAACACTAGGGATGTTCAGACGAGTTTTACTCATGTTGATTTATTGGTAGAACTTGCGGAGCAGGTCTATCGACAAACATGAATTGCTCAAGTTGGAATTATCGAGGGCTTGGCAAACCTCGAGCAGTCTTAACTTTAAAAGAGCTATTAAGATACTACAAACTATATTTTTTTGTTTCAGCTAAGATTCTCGTTTAGTCACAAAAAATTGAAGAACTACAGATTTAGTTTGGTTTTCAATCTTGTTTTGTTATTGATTGTAATGACCATTTAGGTGGCCTTGTTGTTTTATGGAACAATTAGAATTGAATAAAATTAATTGTATCCCTAAAAAAATATTGAAATTAACATGTGTATCCTTGTATTTTGAAAAATACATTAATCTATCCCTAATTTTTGTTTATGTCACACTATTTAATCCTTTCGTCCATATAATGTACTTTTCTGTTAAATGTTTAAGGAAAATATAAAAATACCCTTCATCAACAAACAAATCCTATACCTAGAAAGTATCTCTGCCTCTTCATCACACTATTATTGATGCCACTACTATCAACACATTCAAAATTCAAACTGCTTTTTACAACCCCGTCTCAATATCTAAAACCATTATAATTTTCAACAAAATATGACAATCACAAACAGAAATAAACATATTTCATGCAAACAGAGTTGAGAATTTTTTTTTTCAGAAAAAAAGGAATAAAAAATAAAGAAAATGAAGAGTCGATTATTTTTCTTATTGATAGGGGTAAATCTAAAAGCTGAAAGGAATATTGAGATTGCTATTGAATTGTGTTATTGTGCGTCTCAATGAGGTATGATGTACATATTTATAATAAATTCTTAACTGTAATGGAAGGACTTTAATGCCTAGAAAAGATCTTGGACATAAATGATAAACAGGAATCTTGTGTGACATCCTACTGAATCGAATCGTTGCATAGAGTCGAGTCGAGTCGAGCCGAACTAGAACTCGGTTCGAGCCATTAGAGTCCAGAGTGGTATAGAATGGGATTTAAATTAAATACTTAACTGCATTGGACTTAATTGAATGAAGTATAAAGATAAAAGTATAAGGATTAGGACCAAATTGAAATAAAGTATAAAGTATTGGGACTTAATTGAATGAAGTAATAAAGGATAAAAAGTATAAGGATAGGACTCAATATTGTGAAATAAAGTATAAAGTTTAGGTATTAAATTGTAAAATATTAAAAATTAGGACTAATTTGGTAAATGTTTGTAAACATAGCATTAGAGAATAAATTTAGAAGTTACCTGAAAATTCCATTCACTTTTCCCTTTTTCCATCTTCTCGCTTCATCTTCTCCTTCACTTTACCCTTCTCCATCTTCCTCTCGTAAATCTTCCTCCATTTCTACCTTAATATTCAACCTTTCAAGCATTAAATTCAACCTACAACTGATCCAAGTAAGTTGGACTTTCCTATTTGAGTGATATTTTGGATGATTAATAAGATGTTATTATGTATAGGAGAGGTGAACTCAAAGGTAGAAGCAAAAGGAAGCTAAGAAGAAAAGTTAAAGCTCTTTTGGTGGAAGGTTTGATATCTCTTTTAGTTTAACAAATTTTCTTGCGTGAGAATATGTGTAGTGTGATGATAGTGATAAGATATGTTGCTGAATGTTGAGTAATAGGTTTGAGATGAATGTTGAGTAATAGGTTTGAGAATGTTGATTAAGCATGGGATGCATTGAATAAATGAATTGGATATTGAATTCATGCTGAAACAGGTTTGTTGGAAAAATGACCATTAACTTCAACCTGAATTTGAACCTGTGTACCGATGGAATTAGGAAGTGGTATAGAAGAGTTATTTGTTCCTTTATGTTTTAGTTGTCTATTAGCTTTGGAATCACCTAAATTGGACTTATAAATTGAAAGATAAGCCCAAAAATAGTACAAACTGTGCTGGCTGGAAATCAAAATCTGGGCGGACTGGAAGGTGCTGCTTTAGCTCAATATTTGACTACTTTACCCGCATATTTTAGAGAAGTGATAGAAGACATATTTTTACCCTAATGTGTTAGCTAACCAACCCTAATGTGTTAAGCTAACCATAGAATTTACCAAACTTAAGTACTATTATGGTTCTGGTACTTATTGATAGTTTGTATCGTTTTAATCTTGATGTTGAATTTATTGAATCCCTGTTTAATGTTGAACACAATATAGGTATTAAACGTAGTGCACATAATAAATGTTCTGCTTTCTTGTGCCATCAAAGGTTAGGTCACATATCGAAAGAAAGGATTTTGAGGTTAGTGAAAGGTGGAATCATACCTCAATTGGATTTCACTGACTGGGACGTGTGTATAGATTGCATTAAAGGTAGCAAACTAAGCACACATTAAAGACTCCAGCCACAAGAAGCAGTGAATTGCTTGAACTTATACACACTGATATTTGTGGCCCTTTTGATGTTCCCTCTTGGGGTGGTGAAAAATATTTTATTACCTTTATCGATAATTTCTCACGGTACGGTTATGTATATTTACTATGTATGATTTACTGCATAAAACGGACTCAATCAGTGGATATCCGTGAGATATTCCATTAAATAAGGAGAAAGGCAGTTAAGTAGAAAAGTTAAAGTTGGTGAGATCTGAATAGAGGTGGTGAATATTATGTAAATTTAATGAAAATGGACAATGTCCAGGTCCATTTGGCAAAGTTTCTTGAAAGTCGTGGCATTTGTGCGCAATACACAATGCCCCAAATAAACACCTCAACAGAAATAGTGTAGCTGAAAAGGCGGAATCGTACTCCTTTGGAAAAATGGTTAGAGTTGCTAAATAATTAAATACTGTAACCTTTAATCATTATGGAATGCATGTATTATAAGACGCTGCATATTTACTTAATTAGGGTTCCTAGTGAAGGCAGTTCCTAAAGCACCCTTATTGAACTGTGGACGGAAGGATTTTATATTATCCTAGTCCTGAGGCATTCCTTCATGGTTTGGAGTTGCCCAGCGGAAGTAAGGATATATAATCCACATGAAAAAGAAGCTTGATGCTAGATACGGTTAGTGGATTTTCATAGGATATTTTCCTCTGAAAAGTTCTATAAGGGTACAGGATTTTATTGTCTAACCATAGTACAAGAAATTGTTGAGTCTGGTAATGCTCAGTTTATTGAAAAATGGCCAAAATTAAGTTGGGAGCAAAGTGAACCACGTAAGGTGATGTGCAAGAATTCAAGATTGAAAAATCCAACTCAGCAGATGGAATTTTCCTAATGTAATCTTCTTCGTTGTTGTCCACTTGTGTAATTACGGTTTTAACAAATGGTTGAACAACAAAACAACATTCCAACCCACAAATGACCAATATAAATGAATGAACATGCTCAGTAAATGATGGAACAATTCACAAATGATCAAGTGGTTTTTCACAAGAAAATAGCATTACGGAGGTCACAAAGGCAAAAAGGCCAGCTATTTCTAATGATTATGTGGTTTAACTTCACTGAGCATGAAATGTGGAATTGAGCATTGCATAAGGTCCAGTTCTTTCCAAGAAAGCCATGGAATGTGATAATTCAAAAGTGGTTTTTATGCCATGAAGGAAGAATCAATCAATGAAGTTGATAATCAAGTCTGGGATTTTAAGTCGAGTTTGCCTGAAGGGGTCAAAACAAGTTGGTCTGTAAATGGGTTTTTAAGACCAAAACGGGACTCTAAGGGCAACATTGAAAGATATTAAGCGTCAGACTTGTTTGCTAAGGTTACACTCATAAGGATCGGCATTTGATTATAAAGAAGAACCTTTTCTCCAAGTCTCCCAAAAAGACTCTTTTAAGATATTTTTTTTTTTTGGGTTTTGGTTTGCTTATTATGATCTATGAGCTTCACCAAAATGGAATGTAAAGACAGCCTTTCTTAATGGTGACTTAGAGGAGGAAGTATACTATGGAACCAACCCAGAGGGGTTTGTTGGTCCACAGGAAAGGGAAAAACTTGAATGTGGTAAGTTAAAGAAGTCAATATATGGACTCGAAGCAGGCTTCCCGTCATGGTATCTAAGTTTCAATAATACCAATCACCTTCATATGGTTTTAGAAAACACCGTTGATCCGGTGTACTTATATGGAAGGTCAGTGGGAGCAGCTCATTATGTTAGTCCTATATGTGATGACATCTTCTTGCTTGCGAATGAATGTTGGGTTGGTTGCATGGATTGTAAAAGGGTTTTCTCTCTAAAGACTTTGAAATGAAAGATATGGGAAGGCATCCTTTGTGATTGGAATAGAAATATTCCGGATTAGGATAACAGGACTGTTAGGATTGTCTATCAAAGGAGCTACAATTGATAAGGTATAGAGAGAATTCAGAATGGAAAACATGCTCTGCAGGAATAGTTCCAATTGCAGAAAGGAGAAGGTTCAACGAAAGCAATGTCCTAAAAAATGATTTTGGAACGTAAAGGAGATGGAGTCCTAATCCATATGTGTCAGTGGTTGGGAAGCTTAATGTATGTTCAGACATGTACTCGACCGGAATATTAGTTTCGCCGTAGAATGTTAGTGCGATACTCAAAGTAATCCCGGAAAATGGATCATTGGAAAGCTGGCAAGAAAGTAACTAGATATTTTACCAGGCTCTAAAGATCATATACTCACTTTATAGAAAGTCCAGCCATCTAGAAGTAAGTGGGATACCTCGGATATTCAACTAATCGCAGGTTGTGTAAGATTTCGAGAAGTCACATTGCCTATTTGTTTCTCACTAGCTGGAGGAGCAGTATCATGGAAAAGTGGAAAGCAGTCCCGTCATTGCTGACTTCCAACAATGGGGCTGAATTTGTGGTCCAGTCATCTAGAAGTGGTGGGATACTCGGATTCAGACTATGCCGGTTGTGTAGATTCGAGAAAGTCTACATTTGGCTACTTGTTTCTCCTAGCTAGAGAAGCAATATCATGGAAAAGCGGAAAGCAGTCTGTCATTGCTACTTCCACAATGGAGGTTGAATTTGTGGCATGCTTTGAGGCCACTGTTCATGCATTGTGGTTACGGAACTCTACCTTAGGTCTAGGTATTGTCGACAGTATAGCTAGACCTTTGAGAATTTACTGTGATAATTCCGCAGCTGTCTTCTTCTCTAAGAATGATAGATACTCTAAGGGTGCAAAGCACATGGATTTGTGATTTAAAGTACTATCTGTTGAAAAGAAAGTGCAAAAAACAAAAAGTGTCAATTGAGCATTATGTTAATCTGGATTGATAGCGGGATCCCGCTATACTAAAGGCTTCCGCCCGGGCCAAATCTTCCACTGCCATGTTGATAGGATGGGCAATTATAGATAAGTCCCTGGTTAGCATGAATGTTTTTTAAGAAACTTGTTTAATATAATATACATATGGTTCTTTTGGCCCTGATATTATTTGGAACACTTGGGAAATTCAATTAAAGATTGTTTTTGCTATTTATTGTGTTATCCACATTATAGATGTATACAATAATGGTTTTTAAGTGAGATAAACAATAACAGTTGATTGTAACAATGTATTTTTTTGTTGAATAGTTTCTCTCCATTAAAAAGTTTTTAATGAATTGAAGTGGTCTGGTGATATATGGAAGGGATCAATGTCTGGGGGAAATTAATGACTTGTGACCGCCATAATCCGATCAATCTTAATCTAATTAAGGTAAACAATGATAAAAGACTCAAAGAAATGCACATGGGTGAAGTGGGAGATGTTTTAGATTATTTTAGATAATCTTGTATGTGCCCCATGTGATTAAAGGGCTGGTTCTAATTAAGGTGGCCCAAGAAAATGGATGTTATTGGGACGTTAATGGATTCAAGAGCAGTAGGGTTTTTTAAATACCCTTGCCTCTGCGTATAAAAGATAAAGGAAAATCAACAGATTAAGGGTTATACACATGAAACAAGAGAAGGGTGCGACGGCTCCCTCAAAACACATACGGAGATCAGTTTTGGTTTTGAGGAGCTCATAAAAGAAACTCCCGCAGCCTGTTGATTATTCCTTCTGAACCATTAAGATGAGAGCAACTTACGGAACAAAATGCCAGAATGAAGAAAACGTAGATCGCTGTTACGGTGAGAATCAAATTGTCCCCAACTGAGGTAAACCCATAACAATAGATCTGCCGTTAATCTGCCGTTATGGATCAAGGTACGCTTCCAATTATTGTATATTCTTGTCAAACAAATTCTATGAACAATAGATCTGGGCTATATTAAAGTTTATTCAACACTACATTGTACTTATTTAGGATTTTGGTCTAAGATCACCCTAAGGAGAACTTATACCCTTCCTAATTTAGAACTCTCCTAAATTTAGAATCGTTAAACCTTTGAGTTGAATTAGTTTGAATTATTTTTTGAGTTTTACTCATGAGATCAAGCCTTGCCTCCCGAACTCACCTCAACCTGCTTTCTTCTTTCCTTTTTTTTTTTTTTTTTTTTTTTTAGACTTGGAATCTAGGGGCCCAGCCCCTATTTTTTTTTTAGACTTGGATCTAGGGGCCCAGCCCTATATCCCTGCTTGAAGAGATGGTCATCTGTGCTCCACAGCTACTGGCGTCATCACCCTGCAAAGAGGGGGAAGCAACCAAGATGTATGTCGTCCAAATCAACCTCAGACTCTTTCTTCCCGACCTATTTGACTCTCTGGCCGCAATTATTTAGGTGGTATCCCAAGATTGAAGAGATCGAATTACTCCCCGGAACACACGAAAGACAAATATAATGGATAAATTGAATTTTTTTTTTTTTTGGGTCATAGTTTTTAGTGAAGTTTAAAAAAAAAAGTCTTAAATGAATCAATTTATAAACCAATTGAATCATTTCGATGTTGCACTCTATTCGATTCGATTAGATTTTCATTGTGAAAATTCAAATTGTTTACTTCGATTTGCACTTATTCAATTTACTATTCATTTCCTCCTTTCACCAGCTTTTGCATGCAGAGGAGGAAGAATACTATTTTTATACTCTATTTAATGTTAGAACTGTCAATTATCGTATAAAAAGGATAAAGTATTATTTAATCCTTGAATTTTAACCTTAATTACTATTCAATCACTATATTTTATCTAAATAACTTTTCAATCTATGAAACTGTTTAGTCTTAAAAAGTAACATCTTTACCATTAATTTTTAAGGGGAAAAAAAAAATAAAAATGCCTTTTAATTTTTAAGCAAAGATGAAAATCTCCTTCTAACCTTCTTTTTACGTTTTTCCTTTTACCTTTATTCAAAATTAAAATTCTTCATTCTTCTCAGAAAAAAAAAAAATTCCTTCACTTATTTTCTTATTTCCTGACCTTTTTAAGTCTTTATCTATACCATTTTAATCATTGTAGACCTTAATTAACTTTAATAAATCCTCATGGTAAATTAAATGAAATATGAACCATAAACGAGTTAAAAATTTTATTTGGTGGAGCACACATGTTAAATATAAATTTACAAATAAATATTTTATTGCAAATTATTTTTTATTTTCAAAATGTGTCGATTAAGTATATTTTATAGATGAGTTTATAAAATTTAGTAAATTTCAATCTTTTTTGAAAATATTTATTTCCATTTAAAACATGGTCTTTATTAACCTAATTCAATTCTTTTAAATATCGCTCCTCTTTTAACTTGACCTAATTAAGTTTGCAGAAATAAAAGAATTATAAAAATAAAATAGTCCACATAATTTTTAATTGAAATTAATGAAATCATTTAGGGTTTGAAAGGTAATGTTTCAACCAATAGGGGCGATTTTGTAATTTATCCAATACTTTTTAAGAATTTTCTTTTATACTTAATTAATACTTTAAAAAAAATATTATTAGTACATAATAAGCTCCTTCCTAGAACTTTCCAATACATCATCATGGGACAATGATAATACACATTTTTTGAAAAGGGTTAATTGGCATTTAAATCTAAGGATGGAGTGTCTTTGTGTCTTGATGTACATTTGCATGTCACAAATTGTAATTTGGATTGGTTGTGTACTGAAATGGAAATGTATTGCCATAGAAAAAGAGTTTACATGGAAAATTGATTTTTGTTGTATATATATTTTTCAAGGTGTTATATCAATTGGTACATAGTCATACTCATTAATACCTTTATAACAATTGAAGTAAAATTGTTATTAGTAAACTAGATTAGAGTTGGTTCCAATTTTTTAAAAAATTGAAATCAAATTAAAAGGATTTTGTATCGATTTGAATTTCGTGAACCGAAATTCAGGAGTTTACTAAATATCCCTGATTATTAGGCAATAAACTTGCTTCTATAGCTAAAAAGTCTTAAATGTGGGCTCCAAAAGGTTGACAATATATTAACTCAACCAAATAAAAAATTATAAAAAAAAAAGAACAAGAGTCGTGTTGATTGAATTCCATTTTTATAGTCATAATATAATCATAATTTTCCGGTCCGTTGTTAGAGCCAATGTTTAGTTGCCCATCAACAACTTGCATCAATTGGGCCCTTCTTTAGTTGTTTGCCATCCGATGGGCCGGCCCAATGTGAAACAGAAGAGTGTTATTATTATTATTAGGGTAATTTATTATTTAGTCCCTCAGGTTTTACAAAATTAACCAACTAATCCAAGATTTTGCCAAAATATCTAGCTAGTCCCTCAGGTTCCTCAGGTTTTTACAAAATTACCCAAACTAAATCAGATTTTTGCCCAAAATAATCTAGCTAGTCCCTCAGGTTAACGTCCGTCTAATTAAAAAGGCCTTCCGTCCGAAAAGTTAGTTTTTCCGTTAATTAATAGAACTAAAAGACTAAAACACCCCTCCCTAGCTTGACGTGGACCATAAGGGAAAAATTATTATCTTAGTCCCTAGGTTTTACATAATTTATCTAAGCTAATCCCAAAGTTTTGCGTAAATATCTAACTAGTCCTCAGGTTTTAACTTCCGTCTATTGAAAGGTCTCCGTCGAAAAGTTAGTTTTTTTCCGTTATGAAGACTAAAAGGACCTAAAACCAACCCTCCCCTAGCTGACATTGGACGCAGTATGAAGCGATAATGATATACCATACGTTTGTTTCCTTTTGTTCCTTCCATATCCATAATGATATTTACCCTAGTTTTATTCTTTTGCACAGATAACTTGCATTAAATATTAATATTCAATATTCAAAGTTAATGAAATTAATAAATAATATAAGGTGGCAAAAAATAATTACTTTTTTTATCAAATAAATAGACTAATTAATTAAGAGCCGGTGTTTTTCTTTCCGCAAATATTTTTTTTTTAAGAATATTAATGAGTAATAATTTTTTTCAATTTATTCTTAATTTATTAAATTTTTAATAATTAATTTATAGAGTTTTTCCCAAATCATATTACCTCTCTCTTTACTTAAGATACGTAATAAATAATTTAATATTTTGTTAGTATTTTATAAGAAATTAAATTTAAACTTACTTAATTAACCAAAAAAAAACATTAAAAGTATTTATGAATAGTATGGAATGCTTTTGTTTTTTTTTTTTTTTTAGATTTTAATCAATGATGAATAGTAATGTTTCTGATAAAAATTTGCATATTAAAATATGAATAAAATAGAAAATTTATGTTTTATTACTACTTTTTCTAAAAAAGAAACTATGATGATAATTTGGGGGTAAAAAAGAAAAATTGAGGTATTTACTTTTTTTGAAAGAGGTATTTACTTTTATGATTTCACTTAAATTTAATAAATTTAATTAGAATATCAAATTAATTTTTTTAATCCTTTTTTAATACTTTTTGTTCCATAATACTTGTTCAGATTTGAGAAAATAAGTTTTTTTCTCAATATTTGTTCTAATTTAGTCTAAAATACTTGTTATATTTGCGGTTTTAAGGAGTGAATAAATATTTTTTTTTCATATTTTTACCCTTTTGTATGATTAATAATTATTACTTCAATTTAATAATTTTTCTTAAGAGATTAATATTAAATTAAGAGAATTAAGAGTAATATTGTCAAAATTTATTCAATAATTTATTATAATTTATACAAATTTAATAATTTTTTTAAAAGACATGAAATTCTAAATGTGGGGAATATTATAGAATGAAGATAGTAATATTTTAGAGACATAATTATATTTAATGGTTTTCAATTTGCAAATATTCATAATCTAAAACTAAACCGTACATTTAAGAGAGAAA